GGAGTTGGTATCTGTGTTGCATGTGGACAGATTACCTATTTTGGACAGAGGGTGGATGCGTTGGGGGCTTAGGGGACTTTGGGGACGCCAGATGCCGTCGTTTTGGCCTGGCTGGTGGGAGTGTTACTGTTAAATCTATGTCAACTCTCCCACGATCATTTCTAATTGTAGGGGCGATTTGGGGTTTATTATGTATGTGACTCTCCATTTGAAGGGTGGAAGGTCGGGTCATTTCAGTTGGAGGGTTGCTGGATTGGGTACCACTATCCTCACAGGATGGAGTTGTAATTTGATTGGGTGATGAGGATGTCTGGAACATCCTCCTTACCTCCCTCTGCATTGGTGTTCTGTCGGGAACGATCATTATGTCTTTAAAATTAGTTCTGTTAGGAATTTGACATTTTTGTTTTATAAACTCTTTAGCTAACTGCTCATTTGGGAATTCAAAGAGTAACGGACAGTGGTAACGCTGGGACTTTTTTCGTAGTCTGACGCATATACAGGGAAATTTGGACATACCGCTGGCATTAAATAGTGTCGGCTTGACTGATTCCAGGGGGATTTTGTCTGGGACATTAAAGACCACCGCTTTTCGAGTACGTGTAAGTCTTTCTAATATCTCACATGAAATGGTGCATATGAATTTACACGCTTTCTGTATGTAGTCTTTACTAACATTGGATGCAGGGTCGAGCAAGAGAAGAATTGGGGTCAGCTTAGTAAGTAACAATTCAGTACTACCAAATCTAGAGTATAGATCTGACATACTGTCCTCTAGCCGCTTAAATTTATCCCCTGAATTGACAAGTGTATTGAGATGTCATTCAATGGTCACCCATCTCACCCTTTTACGATAGATTGTTTCCAACTTCTGCCCCAGTTGGATCTATATAAAGTTCTTGGTTTCTGGCTAAACGACAATCTGTCCTTCTCTTATCACAATCATCGAACCAGTAAGGCCGCTTTTCGTGACCTGAACCTCATAGAAAGATGTTTTCTTCCCATTATAAAGGACAATTTTCCCCTAATTTACGGAACGTACATCTGAACTATCTTAGAGTACGGAAGCCCAGTTGCACACTCCGGTCTCATCCGAGATCGTGATTGCCTTTAGCGCGTCCAGAGGGCCGCTAAAAAGGCCGTCCTTGGATTGAAGGGCCTCCCCAACCCAACGCGACTTCAACAACTTGGCCTCTATCTGTTAGAAATCAAACGCATTTGAGGAGTTCTAGTTCTCCTTTACCATCTCTTCGACACGATTATTGTTGAAACCTTCCTCATCATTGCTGTCCCAAAGCCTAGCAGAGGTCATAGCAAAAAACTGTCAAGCACCGTCCGAGAACTATTCTGCATGCCTCATTTTTTTTACCTTCAGTGAGATATCCTCATGAAATGCCCTTCCAGAAGAGATAGGCAGCGCCCCAGCAAGACGGTCTTCAAACTTCGCCTTGACCGTTTATCTATTCACCTCCAATAAAAGAAAACCTTTGAAAATAAAACATTTTGAATTATACGAGAGTTCGAAATTCCTCATTTTACTTCTCGCCTCGAGCGGGGAACCCTACCAATGCTTTTTCAGAACTCTCTGTTATAAAATAAGTTAGAACGAAAAGAAAACAGATACCTTTCAATCTCCTTCCTATCGGTGAAAGTGATCATCTTCTCATCAGGATGACACTTCAGTTGAAACTATCCAGACACCGTGAAGTGATGCGTAGGAACTTTGGAAGGATTAACGTGTATGTACTTCGAGCTAAGGCTGCTCTTCCGAGTTGGCAAGGTTCGGAGCAGCACGCTGATGTAGAGGAAAGCTGGAGTATAATCAGAAACAAACGGATGAACCTCCAAGATGAGTTCGCTCCGTTAACCCACAACGGTTCAAGGAAGAAGCCGCCATGGTGGCACGTCGCTGTGGGCAGGGCGATAAAACGTAGAAATCGAAGTTGGAAATCTTTTCGAGCTTCGGGTTCCCAGATGGCTTGGAGGTAGTACACGAGACATCGTAACGAAGCAGTTACGCTCATTAGAAAGCGTAAAAAGGATTTTGAGTTGAAACTAGCCAGGTGAGCCAAAAGAGAGCCGAAACGCTATTGAAGCTACGCTCAAGCCAGGGGGTCCAATGAATGGATGATGGGACCTCCACAATTAGAACGTAGGACATCCATCAATGACCAGGAAACGGTGGACGCATTTTGCACATAATTCAGCAGTGCGTATCGAGTAGGTCGCAACGATCTGGCAAAACTGGAGCTCGATCCCCTCCCAACAGAGGAAATAGAGAATGCTTATGTGTCATTATAAGAAGTTCATCGGATATTAGCGGAGGTGAACGCAAGTAAATCTCCAGGGCCAGGTGGAATCCATCCGACGATCGTCAAACCGACCGCGGATGTAGTGGCGAGATCGCTAAGGGAATTGTACCAAGCCCGCCTAGACCAGGGCAAGCTAACGAGGGAATGGAAAACAGCTGCTGCTGTTGCCACTCATGAGGGAGGAGCACTATCCCGGATTAGAAAGAAGTCCAATGAGCCTAACGAGTGCCTAGAAAGGATAGTGAGGACGAGCATTGCACAGTATTTACTCCAAAACTCAATGCTTACTGATCAGCAGTACGAGTTTACCAAGGGTACATTATGCTTATCTAATTTACTGTTTTTTAGATGAGGTGACCTCGAGGTTAGATGAGAGCAACGCTGTGGAAGTGTGTTATTTAGGCTTTTCCGAAGCTTCCAATTCCGTCAATCGCAGGATTTTGTTAGCTAAGATCAAATACAAGGGGATAGGTGGGCAGATACATAACTGGATCAGGGAATTCCTGACCGATCGTACGTTTTACGAGAGGATTGGAGAAAAAGTATCGGCCAAAGCCATACCCACTAGTGGAGTACCACAGGGCTCAGTGCTTGGTCCCCTACTGTTCCTCATTTTTATAGACGACTTGGCTGCCATCCTACGTTCACCATGCTTCATCTTTGCAGATGATGTCAAGATCGTGGATCAGCCAGCCGGCAGCAATTGCAGGATGACCTGCGTAGAGCAACGGAATGGGCAACAGTATGGGACCTCCCACTAAATGCAGAGAAAAGTAATTTGATTTCCCGTCTTGATGAACAGCTGTCCATCCACTTAGGTGGAGGGGATTTCACTGCAGGACTTCTACGAACCAGCAGAGACTTAGGAATATCGTTGGCGGCAGATTTCCGCTAGGAGAACCAGTGTGTACTGGCTGCAGCGAGGGCGAGGAGAGCGCTGTTTGGGCTCAATTCGGTATTATCGTGTAGGAAACCCGACGTATTCCTCCTCCTGTACAAAGCTATAGTTAGGCCGCACTTGGGGTACTGCGTGCAGGCATAGGCCCCTTCCTTAAAAAGGATGCAGGCTGTTTAGAGGAAGTTCAAGGACTAGCCACCCGAATGATTGAACGCCGAAAGAGTAAGTCATACGAAGAAAAGCTAGAAGACTTAAGACTCTTCTCGCTAGAAAGGAGGAGACTATGGGGAGACTTACCGGAGACCCTCCAGTCGATCTACCGGCCCTGAGTTCACTAGCTTGACGTCGTTGGCAAAAATGAAGGCAAGAACCGCCAGTTCCTGGACCAAGTGATTTATAAACAGCAAGAAGAGCATCGGGCCTAGCACTGAGCCCTGAGACACTCCGCTGGATACGTTGCCGACATTTGACAGATCTTCTCCCACTCGAACTCTATAGGTCCGGTTGGTGAGGAAAGTTTCTATCCATCTAATTAGAGCTTTTGAGAGACCAAAACTGCTGAGCTTCATCAGTAGGAGTCGATGATTTACCGAGTCCAAAGGTTTCCTGAAGTCCAGGTAGCACACTTCGACTTTCTGATCTCCATCCAACTTCCTTGTAACTTCGTCTAAGAAACAAAGAAGGTTGCTCAAACACGGCCCCTTTTCGAGAAAGCCGTGCTGGGCAGGGCTAA